GGGCGCCGGGCAGCCGGCTCGGCGGCGGGGTCTCTGGCAGAATCCGGCCCCCTCACCAAGAAGACCGGCGCTCCGAAATCCGGGTTTCATGCAGCAGGAGAGGAGCTTCACTTGTATGATGAACTACACTGCAGGGTGGAAGAGCCCACTGGCAGGTGTGAACTGGTTTCTCAGATCGCAGAGTTCAGAGATCCTGCCCCGGGGGAAACAAGGAAATATTTCCCGAGCAGTGTTCTGGCGCAGAGCGCTCCTTTGTTTTGGGTGTTTGTGTTGGGGAGGGCAAACGCCAATCACATTTTTATCACGGAAGCCTCGCGGGGAATTCCGCGTGGAATTGTTTCCAAACACTTGGATCAAATTTGTTCAAATCGGCAAAAAAAAACATACAAAAATGAAAGGGCCAGTTGTTTTGAAGCTAGAAGGTCCAGTTTTTTATATTTCTCTTTGGTAGAGGAGGATACAGTGGGGGAAAAAAATGTGCTTAGTTTAATTTTCTATACACAGAAAACACATCACGATATGTTTCCCTTCATCCTCCCAGAGGGCTCAAGGGCATTTAAAACTGTGAACGGGAGACACGTCTTTACACAGAGGGTAGCGGGGGCGTGCAACAGGCTGCAGCTAGTTTCCAGAAAGAGGTATGAATGCGCTTGTGAATAAAAGCAGCTCCGCTCCTTGGCGGTTTTGCCTGGTCTGCTCTGGGAAGCCGTGAAGCAGCAGATGTGGTTACTTTGAAGAATCGGACTGAAGCACATGAGCATCTCCCACACTGCAGCGGTGTGGAATAAATATATATACAGAACTGTAAGTTTACGCTCTAAATGAAGCTGTTAAAACTACACATAAATTAACAGAGAGGAGTCACTTCTTTTAAGCCTGTTTCTGAGCGAATGAGGAATAGGTGGAGTATGTGGAGCGCTTCAGCAGCATGTTGTGGGAGGTGGAGGAATGTGGAGGAGGGGTTTGGTCTGGAAGCAGCAGGCTGCAGAGGTACTGCATTACAGAGGTGCATGTGTGCCAAGAGGGAGCCACAAAGATCTGTCTGCTGGGAG